AAAAAGGCTGGGATGTTACTTCCTCAGGTCAAAGACTTAAATACTACTACTCTGTCTACATTTCAGAGATTGTACATTTTTCTCCCCACTAATCACCTATGACACTTTTCGATTTCAGTTTTCAGACAAATTTTCATTCCACTTAAAAGGCCGAAAACTTGAACATCCAATGAATTTAATCCCTTTTGTGGAAACTGCAATGGGTTTGCTCAATTTTAAGGTAAGAAAATCATAATGTGGTTGATAAATTAGTATTTTATTTATCACCTAAAGAGAGCCTTCGTTTTCAATTTTAACATCTACTTAAAATATTTTCCTAGAAAGATTTATAAGCAAAGTAAATCTTGAGCATCATTTGTTATCTATATTAGACCAAAAACCAGGTTGTGAGCATCTTAGAAAACAAAGAAATTGGTTAAGCAGAAAAGAAGAGCTTCACAGTCCTAAATGTTTCAGTGAAATATTTATATATTCTTAGTAATAATTTTAATAATATAATCACTTTATAAATATGTGCTTTAAATCATTACATTTCTAGATTGAAAGAACATGGAAATTTATTTTGTCACCCTCATGAATTAACTTTGAATTATTCTTTTGTACCAACTGTCTTTTCACTGGGAAATTTTCCAGCCTCTTTGTCGAAACATTACCCATAACGTCCATCAAATAACATTCATATTTGTAAGTTAACCTACACAAATAATTTGTTGTATATTACTTCAATTTGCCACATTGGAACCTAACATATTTTCTAATATATATTGAGGAAGATTCACTGAGCCATGTGTTTTTAACCATTCCATGGCTGTAGTAAACAAACTGCCTTCATAAATTCATAGCTAGCTCGTTTTTCTCCCCTTTTATCAGTGGTTATTTATATTGTTTTCCAAAATACGCTTGTTTCCTCCTGACCTGGGGACATCAGTATAGCACCACCTTCTCAGAGGTTCTAAGCTACCTTTTTTTTAATCTCCAGAGTGCAGGAGAGAGAAATCGCTAAAAGCAAAGCGAAAAGACAGTTGAACTGTACTGGAGAGATTCTATGTGACTAAATGCTCCGAGATGAAACTTTGAGACCCACTGGACTGTGCAGAAGGGCCAGGGAGCTGCTGCGAGCTTCGAGCCTCGTGATCAGTATGTTTATACAACTAACCACAAATTCTTCCAGCCCGCCCTGGCACTCCCGGAATATAATCAAAAGCACATCCCTTAAACGCAACCAGATTCACACAGTGATTTGATTTCAAGAGCTGTTTCACCATATATTATTCTCTAATGTACTCAGAAGGCTTTACAACCTTTCCCGAAATTCATCAGCAGAGTCCTCACGCAGCTCTCATTTCTTCCCCGCCCACGTCTATTAGCATGTCGCATCTCCACCTTTTCAGATTCAGTTATATCCCTGACAAAGGCTATTTCATCTTTATTTTCTCTACAAATGGTGAAGCTACCTGTCATCTTAGATGACTTGTTGCATTTTTATTTTCCCCTCTGGAGTTGTAGATTCTTTGTTACGTAGGTATTTAATCCTGAGAACATTTGCTAAGAAATCTTGATCCCAATGCACATAAGCCAGTTAATTTATTTGATTGAAAAAGCCCTTCCTTCTCTCCAGTGGTTTTATGTTTGCTATTTGACAGTCCCTTGAAGCAAAAGCAAATTTTGGGAAAAAATATAAATAACGACTAGTACAATCAAAATGAGTTACCTCAAAGTTTCTCTAGAAATTCGATGCACTACGATTTGAACATTTGTAACTATATTAGTTATATTAGCAGCTACTGATGTTATCCATTAAGCAAAGTAAATATATACAACATACTTCATCTTGGACAGTACTAAATACCTTTCCAAAGGGGTAAATTTGGGCTAATGTTTTAGGACTGCTTTTAGCCAAACTGTGTTGGGAGTCAGAGCCTTGTGCTGCTGAAACGCAGCTGCTGCTTCTCCCCAGTGCGTGCGTTTCTCTGGGACCTGCTTCTGCTCTGCTCTCTTACAGGCTGTGTGTGAAGAAGCGCTGAAGACTGGGCCTCGAGTGGGTCTGGTGCTAGACGCTGTCGTTTTTGGAGGCGAAGATTTTCGAGCCAGCATAGGTGTCAAAGACGCATTTTCTCTCTCTCTGTCTCTCATTCTGTGTATACCTGTGTGTATATTTTTTCCTTTGTCTCTCATCAATGACCATTTACATGACCGCATATATCTGCCAGCCAGGACAGTGGTTCTCCAGCTGAGTACACCGCACTTCCTGATAATTCAGGACTCCTCCTAGCTGCCCCCGACCAGAACACTACATGGTTACTTTGGTTCATTTATAAAATAACAAAAGGCCTGTTGCAGCCCCTGATGTGTTCAGGAATAGACAGCATATACTTTGCTCATGATAAATGTATTATGTGAACAACCTCTCCTCTGCTTAAATATTTTGTTTTCATATCAGTCTGAGGGCTGAATTTAAGGCCGTTTCACATTGGCTTAAATTCATTGTTTTCTACTTTGAATGTAGTATGTAAACATTAATTAAAATAGAGCTTAAATTTCTCTTAAAATGTATTTCAGAACTCTTATTAAATATTCACTCAGATGTTACGCTGGTTCTTACTGATCTTCACCATCCCTGGAGCACTATGCTTCGGTCTGGGTGTGTGTATAACTAGAAACTGTGAGGTCAAAACCGCATAAAGCATTTCCAGAACCACAGTCCCAGTGAACCAAAGACACAAACGTCCCCCAAGCAGTTTCATAGGCCACATATAAACGGTGACCCTCGCAAGTGAAAAAAAAAAGTTATTTTAATACCAGAATTTCCAGGATCGGTGGACTACAGGAGGCCTACCAATACTTTCTGCCTCTCTGAAAACGAGTCCCCTCCATTTCCCAAAGTTTCTCATCCAAACCCTGAAGCTGATGCCTTTGATTCAGAGCTTCCGCTATGAGAGGGCATTGCAACGCCAGCATACACAATTCTGTGCTCAGTGTGAGAAGCTAGCCATTGCGTGGTGCTGTCCTTGGACTGGCCCACCCAGGATGGCAAGAAGGAAATGATATACAAGCAATCACTTGTAACCAGGTTCTATCTCCTGAAATGGGGGTGGGGCCTTTTCTTGCATGTCCAAGTACTTATGCTCACAGATGCCTGGCAAGATAAGACACATCATGGGATTTAAGTTGGCCTCCAATGATCCCTCTCTTCATTTTTGTCTGAATAATTATTTTGGCGGGGAACAGTTCGCAGGGAGATAGATGTCTTCACAAACTGAGTTTTTTATAAGAAACACCTGGGTTCCGTTTCCAAAATTGAAGTCTCCTTTTTCTGCCAATATCCCATTTCCAGGTGCAACAAGTAATAAAGACACCCAGGATATCCTCTACGCCCGACAAAAGATCATTGTTGTGGCTAAGGCCTTTGGCCTACAAGCCATAGACCTTGTGTACATTGACTTCCGCGACGGAGACGGGCTGCTGAGGCAATCAAGAGAAGGGGCCGCCATGGGCTTCACCGGTATGAGTCCTTCACCATCTCCTAGAAAGTGGGGTCTAGGTTAGCAAGCATTTCAGAAACAAAATAGATATTTAACCAGAAATTAGTACTGCTAATATAAGTAGCTATTTCATGTATTTTTTTCCACTATTTGAAATAAGAAAATGCCATCCAGGGCAAGAACCAGACAAGCAAATTGTAATGTTTTTCTTTGACTCTGCAAGTCAAAAATACAAATCACTTGTTTTATTTTCTCTTTACATTCATTACAGATTTTTTTGCAGCCCTGGAAAGTCTTTTGTTGCAGTTTTTGCTGATCTGAGAGGAGCGCTGAGGGTATTATAGAAGTATTTCAGAACAAATTATCATTAGAATTTGGGTAAGGTGAGCGGGGGCTTGCAGGGTACAAGAAAAAGTTGCTAAAATATGCAGAATATTAATTCCTTTCTGAAAACAATTTTGGTGAGATCTTCTTTGATGTGTTTCTGACTCATAACTAGCTCCCCCCTCCCGCCCCAATTTCAAGCCCCTCCTTTCTCTCATCCCCACCACTCACCTCCCAGTGAGTGTCTGGGCACCTGGCGACACCTACGGGCATTGGCAGGCACTAAGACCAGCGGGTCCCTTGCAATCCAGGCCTGGTGTACAGGTGGATAGAGTCTGTTGGTTGGTGTGCCCAATCACTCAGAGACCCCTGAGCCAGCAGAGAGCTGAAGATTTTGTTTTTGCAACAGAAATCTATTTTTTGAAAAACCACAATAGGATTCTACACACAAACATGTATATAGTGCAGTAACACACACATAAACACACAATCATGGATAAAACCACTATAAGCTCTTTTATTCTTATGTGTACTTGTGCTTAAAGCCTAAGAATATCAATGTCAGAAATGTACCCAAACCATGACAGAATGGGGGTAAAATTTGGAACAGAACCTTAAATTCCTAAAAAGCTGGAAGGAAAAAAAAAAGAAAAAAACAGACCTACTGGACTGGTTAAGACTGGAAGACTCCCCGAGACTGTTGCCCTGAGATACTCTCCAAGCCTTGAACTGAAACTAACCCCTAGGTCACCTTGTAGCTAAATAACAAATGGCTTGAAAAATAATGACTATCACCTGTAAGTACTGAGCGCCTTTAAAAAATCACCTATATGATGCCAAATGGCAAACGGCAACAATTACTTTAAAACAAAGATGAGAAGGTAAGGGGGCAGGGAAACTAGATTAATAGAAATGGAACAACTAGAATGGAAATAATGGAGAATGTTCATGCATTGTAAAGAATGTACCCAATATCACTGAACAATTTGTGTAGAAATTGTTGAATGGGAACCTAAACTGCTATGTAAACCTTCAACGAATAAAATATTATTAAACAAAAAAGAGAGAAATGTACCCAAATGACAAGGAAAGGAAAAGAGAAAAGCATCCATGTTATTCCTTTTATAAATATGTTTGAAATGTATCAGTTTAGGAGTTATGAAAGAAACATTTCATAAAGTAACCTTGAATTTAAAATGATTTAACCCAAAATACACTTGAAAGCCTTAAAAAGCAATTTTAGTGTTATATTACAATTGAGTAGAGCTCTGGCATTTGTTTTTGTGTTTTTAACATCAGAGTTAAAATAAATATGCTCCCTTATAGAGAAATCTATTTCAATTATCTGGACTATTCGTAAGTGAATCACCTACATTTAGTAGTGATTGAGGAAGAAAGTAGTCACTCTGCCACATCTGTGGTGCTGTTTGTCCCAGTGTCCTACTACACCTGACTCTTGCAACGACTGATTAGGATGTTGCCCAAATGGAAAATTTGGAGAAAAACGCCATGAAATCTCTCTAATCGATGCCGATGGTGTTAGCCTAAAATGTGTGGCTTTGGCTCCCAAGCAGCCAGATGTTGCTCTGAAATGGAAATTCAGTAAAAAACAGAAAACACTGAATTGATACTGGCCTCTGTCATAATCACTCAGTATGACGTGGGTTTCTTCAGCTTCCTCTGAGGTAAATGTTTGCTCCAGAATTTATAAGGTAGCTTGAGAGTTTGTCCAACATAAGGGACTGAATTAAATTGATCCCTAATTCAGTCACAGAAGAGGAGTTATTTCAGATCAGGTTTAAATTTGCAGACTGTGCCCAACTCGGCATAAAGAGCTTAGGGGCCTCGCACGTTGTTTTGCAACAACAGGGAGTATTAAGTCACAAAAAAGATGGAAGCGGGGAGAACAGGGAGGCACAGAGGGTGCAGTGCCCATTATATATTCCGGTGAACTAGTCAGTAAACTAGGCGTTACACTTTATAACCATGTTGACATTTTTAGAGAGAAGATCCTTTCTTGTCCTAATTATATTTCTACATACCAACAAAAGGTAATTTATCTGATAAGATATGGAATTATTGGTAGCATTTAAAAAAATAAGTGTTTTATAATGAGTATTTTAGACCACTCATGATCTGTTTGCCCTAATTATTTGACATTTAATTGTCAGACTTGGGCTTTGCACAAGGAGGAATGAGGGAAGGAAGGGAGAAAAGAAGGAAGGAAGGAAAAGGAGGGATGTGGGGGGAGGGAAGAATATACAGCCTATCTGAAACAGGCAATGAGAAGATTTAAAATCCAGTGAAAGCATTACGTTATCCATGACACTGATAAGGAATGCTAAGTCTGTGCTCTAAGGATTTTCTGTGCTTTTAAGAATTAAATATATTTTAATGAGTCAGAGTTTCTTAAAAGTTAGTCACGCAGCAAACAGTGGGTTATACTTTGTTTTCTACAGGGTCGTTTCACTGGGCCACGATCCATGTAGGTTGATCCTAAATCAATGCAGTGACTGTATAAAGGGCCGTTAACTTTAGGAAGATTTTTATAAGAAGAAACCCAAAATAAATCTTGGAATAAAGCTTTACCAGCTGACTTAATCATTACAGTTTCTCCAGTACTACGTGCTGAGAAGAAAGATTATAAATATGAGGCACTATAGGTTTCCTTCTTTTTTTGCGGTCTTTTGTAGAAGACAAAAATGACACCATCATACAGTTACCTAAAAGACTTGACAGGTATTGATTTAAAGCACGATATATCAAGTGGTACTGTAAAAAGGATTTCGTGGTCATAAATTTTAATGTCTTCCAATTTTTGCACCCTCTCAGTAACTTGTCAGTGACAACTGTTCTATATAAAATATTTGCTTCCTTCCAGCACAGCAGTAAAGTCTGTTCTACAGTTGTTGGAACACATGAGACGCAGCAAAAGAGAACTTCACATATAAAATGAATGTTCATAAATCTCTAAAACCTAATGCATATCTTAAAATTAACCTCACTACCAAAATATTGGTACTTGAAAGCCATTAGCAATCTCACAGGATTATTATAAGTAGTTTACGTTGGCCCTTCAAATTATAGTGCCTGTTCCAAGTAGTTCCCATGAAATATGGCTTTTTATACATCAGTACAAATTATGTACATAAATTATAAATTTCACGACTAAATAATTAGTAGGAAACTGACATCCTTTATTAATAATATTATAACAACTGTTAGATTATTTAAATATAATCTCAATACCTCCTATTGAAAAACCTCTCACTGGTGTTATTTGTTCCCAGAAATTATTCCTCCAGTCATTTAAAGCATCTTTCTTTACACGGGTTTCTAATGGTTTATTAGTATGTTAACAGTCAGATAAGAATGAAATAGCAATGTGAAGATGCTTTAATTATGCCACTGTAAAGAAGATACTATATTTATATATTTATCCACTTAAACACTTTTTCATGAAATACTAAAAAATATTTTTTTACAAAAATATTGTTCCTTTTTTTATTCAATAGAATAATGACAGTAGCAGGATTTGACTCTATAAAACAACAAGAATATAATTTGTACTTACTAAGTGTTAAAACAATTTAACGATTTCAACGGCAAAGAGAGTTGACGTAACAACAAATATACTTAGAGTAAATTATCATTAAGTGTGCATTCGTTTTTAAACGGCCAAATATGTCCATAATTTTATCATGTAATAAAATATAATCTCATTATTATAACATTAAATTATGTTGTATTTTGTTAATGCCCTGATTAGATTCCACATTTCCCTGAATGTTAAATTGTTTTTTAATGGCTGCATGATTTCACAGAATCCTGTGACTCTTAATCTTTGTATAATGTTTTTATTTAAAATCCTTAAACTTCAAAAAGAATCATCAAGCTTTTTTGAACCTATTAGTACAGAGGTGTATAAGTAGCCATCTAAAGGGAAAATATATACTCTTCATTCTATAAGCAAAAAGGGGAAATCTGGATATATTTTTGGATAGAGAAAATTTCTGTGATTTTATTGTAAAATTTTTAAATGATGTAATTTAGAGACCACAGTGTTCAAATTTGCCTTCTCTTTTACTGTACTGAATAAACTATTTTCATTGAAATTCAGTTTTCTGTTAGTGGTTATAAATGATTCACTATATTCAACGAAAAGAAAGAAAATTAAACATATTATTGAAAGACACTATTTGATGTTAGTACTGCTAAAAAGCTTTGTAAGCTTTATGAGAACAGGCCACTGCTAAGAGACATCATGGAAGGTAGGGTACTCTACAAAATAAGCAAAAGACGACTGATAAAATTTGAGAGAATTATCGTTTTTTTTTTTTTTTTTTTTACTTTAACTCACAATAATCACTCTAATTTGCAGACATTATCCTTTAGCGTTTCAGCCAAAGCAGTTATTCAAAGAGCTGCTCAGTCAATCCACCTGTAACTAAAAATGGGAGATTATCTGCACTTAGGTGGCATTTCTATAGGATCGGAAACAATTACTTCCATTGTTGTGTTTGTTCTTATGTGGTATTCTGGAAAATCCTGCCTGATTGCAGTTCTCTTTTTTTTTTAAAAAAAAAAAAGGTTCTAAAATAATTAGTTATTTAACCGACAGTCTGTGAGGCATTCAGGAGCCTCGCGTGGTTGAAACATTTTGTTTGAACATCTGTTTGTTGTTTCAGGTTGCCAATGTTATTAATCTTCTTGTAGGTAAGCAGGTGATCCACCCGAACCAAATTGCCGTGGTCCAGGAGCAGTTTTCTCCTTCTCCTGAAAAAGCTAAGTGGGCTGAAGAACTGATTGCTGCCTTCAGAGAACATCAGCAATTAGGAAAGGTAAATGTTTTGTTAATGCCTTGGGTGTAACAGGTGCTGAAAATACTATTCAGCTGTGGGGAAGAACGAAAAAAAATTGTTGTTTGCATAGTTTAAAAAAAAACTCATTGTATTTTTTGTTGGTTTCTTTTTTTTTTTTTTGAGGGGGAAGGCAACATTCATCGGTGAGAAAATTGCTTAAAGTAGATTTGTTCTTCCCACTGTCGTAAATATATCACTAACTGGCTCTGGAGTCCCTCGTTTTATTCTTTTCGTAAACTATATTGGCAGCCTTAGAGAAAATAGAAAACGTCTATTTAGTTTTGCTCTGCGTACTTCAATGCAGCATTCCTGTGAAAATAATTTTAGATCAAAGTGAGAGCAAGTTGTAATGAAATAAACACAGTTTGACCAAATGTTTCTTGTGGAGAGAAGAAATAAATTTCAAGTGATTTTAACTTTGGGGAGGAAAAAAAAAAAGTACAAAAATCTCCTCAGGTTTAGTCATTCAGGAGTGGGAGGTTGTCCATGTATTTGTATCCATTTCTGGACCTGAGATCTGGATGGAATGGAAAGCAAATTAACACTGGAGTGCGGTTGTTCCTAATTTAGTGCATCATTGAGTCTCGCGTTTCCTGCGCTGTGGGTTTCTGCTATGTAAATATTGCAGGGGTGATGCACAATCTGTCTCCACTTTGTGCCAGTAACACTTATATTAGGTGTCGCCTCAAGGAAGATTTTATGCGTTTCAGCATCGTCAGTTAATTATCTTAAAGGTTATTTGCAATAATACCATTTGCCTCTTTTTAAGTGGAAAGGGGGAAAAGTTGCATTTATAAACCTATCCTAGAGTTAACTATCCAGACTTGGCCTTGTTACTTACAGGAGAGGTGAAGTTTTGATGTCTACAGTGCAAAATTACACAGACAGGAAAGAATATGGAAAAATGATTAAGGGTCTGAGGTTCAAAGCAAACAAACAAAATACTTGTTTTTCAGTGGTGAACCTGTGAAAAGTGTCTCATGAATGTGAGAAGGGTCATTTGTACGTTTCACCAGCAGTAAAAACACCTGAAAATCCAGGGTCTGGCTAAAGTGGGTGCCAATGTTAAAAGGGTGTTCCCTCCCTCTCTCTGTGGATACCTGTCTTCAACTCCGAATGTGCACACATGCTTAGTCTCGCACACACATGCACACACACACACACACACGCACGAACACACATGAGTTCATCTTTGCACAAACTTGCACTTAGGATCCAAAGTAAAATATGTGAAATTGGAAACTTCCGATTTGGACTTACACCAATTCTTTTCATTTCCAACCAGCAGTGGCCATCACAAAAAGGTTGTGCTGCCTAGAAAAATATTTTATGTCAACGTTTTAGATCCATTTCTCTATCTTAACCAAAAAATCTACATCCTACATGAGTAAACATTAATGTTTGCCTAAAGAGTAGAGCTATGTATGCTTCGTTCATATTTGCAAATAGGTCCATCCACTCCCCTCTCGGTGCCTGCCCGTACACACCGAATGCTCCTGCGCCTCTGGTGGGGGCCTTAAGACCAGCGGAGGGTGTGCATATGATAGTACTTCCTGCTGAAAGAATAAACTGAGGCAGGAGATGAACCATGAAAATGGCAGACCTAGCAGACTTCCAATCTGGACCGGCACTGCCTCCAAGAGGAGTCTAAAATGGGTTTCACATTGGACAACATCAAAGAGGCCACCTGTCGTTGTACGCCTCTGGGGTGGGGGGGTGGGCGGTAGAGGTTACCCTAGATTTCAGTAGCCCAGCAGACATAATTCAAATGAGAAACACTATTTTACTGGCTTTTAAGTTCTTGAATCTTGTAAACAATATCTTTCCATTGTATTTAGAAAGTGTTGTTCCCAGGGAAAATTGTCCCAAAGTATCCAATGCCTTTTGATGGTGGCAACTTAAATGTTAAATTATGAACTGTTTTTTAATAAGAAACACCCCCTTGTTGAGCCATAAGCTTTCACAACAGTGTGGCAGCCACAGAAATTAAAGCAGAGGGGTGACTAACTATTAGGTCATTTCTTCCCTGACCCATTAGTGCAGGTTTGTTTCCTACAGCAAATTCTCTTGGTGCTTTGTCCAGCAAGGTTTAAATGATTCAAGTAATGGGGCTTCCAGTGGGGACATACGGTTATTCTATCCAGTTAGCATGTGTCTTTCACTTTGCCTGTAAATTGGCTGGTCACAAAAATTGGGTCTGCAGGTAGGTGACTCAGGGTCTTGAGGGGATCTTGGAGTTTAAATAATGTGGGTTCTGTTTGTAGAGATTAAGTGTAAATAGGTGGCTTGGTTGTATAAAGTATTGCTTCCAACAAACATCTAATCTGTTTTATTTCAAATGTGAATGAAAACATGAACACTCTTGATACTTTGTCCAAAGCACAGGTGACTCTCAAAGACGGAAAACTGATGGTTCATGTCTTAGTGAGACACTCATAAATTTCTAAAAATCTTTCTTCCCTCTTCTGATGAAAATTTCATCCAAATAATACTTTTAAGTAGAAATAATCCAAGAAGGCAAAATTGTCTATCTTTGCTTTTCTCTACTTCTTCCTGCTTCCATCTTAAATTATATCCTGCCGTAAGGCCAGAAATATAGCTGAAGTTCACACAGTTGATGCTGGGTCATTTGTGTTCTCTAAAGAAATAATAATAATTCTTATATTAATAATAATAGTAATAGAAATAAACTTTCTACCTTTTCTTCCTGTCCCCTCTGAATAACAAAAATCATGGGACTACTTAGATCCTGAGCAGATAAATTACTAGGGTTCAGTCTTTAGTATAATGAATTTTTGTTTATTTGTTTTAATTAGAAATTCTAAGGAAATAAAGTTTGCTGTCTTGTTTAATGTCGAGTGAAAAATATTTCACATTAAAAAGTAATAATCAGCTCATGTAATCAATCACTGTTTGACAGGTGTTGATACTTGTGGCTGCTTTGTTTCAAGAAACTGGAAGATATTTTTGAACTAAAAAATGTTGCTTGGCACAACAGTCCTCGCTAGTAAGAATTAAGTCTGTAGACTGGTATTAGGGACTGTAGGTCATCTTTTATCAAAATCTGTTGGAAAAAACATTAAATATTCTACATAACCTATGCTCCTATTTTAATTCCCATAAACTAAAATATTTCTAAATTAGCTGATATCAGCTATGAGCTACCCATCCACAATACTAATCAACCTGATTCTTTTTTGTATCCTTTAAGAAAAATGTAGTGTGAGATACAGCCTGCATGTCCTTAATTTTATTAGCCTCAAATTATTTGGTAAAAATACTTTAGCCAGGATAAATCACTTCCATGTGATCTGTTTTAAATTTATAAAGCATCACCTTAAAAGTTAATTCCATTTTTTTGCCACCTTTTTAATAATCATGGTCATTCCAATAATATTTGAAAAGTCTGCATTCAGAATTGAATTTAGTATTGCTTATTAAAGAAATGTGGTTTTTTAACAGTTATTTTTAATTAACAAAGAATTTTTTTATGTAGTATAATAATTGAATAATTGACATAAAACATATAATAAAACAGTTAATATTAACTGATATCAATAGAAGCCATAATTTGTTTATGAATAAATACATACATATTTACACTATATATACACTCACGCATGTATGATAGTGTGTATTTTTCATGTTTATATTATGTATAAACTTAGTGCTATTTTTTTATTATGTTATTTATCGCTCCTTAGGCAAAAATGACATATAAAGGAAAGAGTCCATTGCTTTTTTAAGTGATCACTAATCACCAGAAATCTTAATATAAGAATCTACTATGTCTTTCCAAATGGAGACTTTAACAGAAAACTAAAAGAATAGTAAAATGTTGATAGTTTTTTTTAAGGTACTTTGCTAGAATCGTCTTATTTTTGCAATATCCAGCTACAAACATGGCTTTGCTTCATTTTTCGTTTTTCTAAGGACTCCCTCCCCCCACCCGCCAATCTGATTGCTGTAATGCTTTATTCAGCTTTAGGGGAATTTGGTTAACTTCTTTACTATTTTTCATTCATTATGGCTTTGCAAGCTGGATAAGTCTCATGGAAAGGGAAGCGTTCATCTTAATAAAAATCTAGGTTCAATCGCCAATTACAAAGGTCAAAAACAAGGTCACTACCTAAGATAACAAGGTAAACATCACACATAACTGGAACATTCTACTTTCACTCAATAATAATAATTATTATTATTCACTCAAGAATAATAATGCAAATTAATAAGTTTGCATTAATAAATTCTCTGCTGGAATATAAATTAGGAACCTATATCTTAATAACGAAGGATAAAAAACGAGAGTGGGATTTTTTTTTCCTTCTGTAAGTCTTTTCAACTAGGAAATTACAAAAAGTAATAAATTTCCACCACCGCCCCAAATACTGAAAGCAAATTATTTTCACAGGTATCTGATTGCGGCTCACACACCTTTCATTTGCGTTTCCAAATGCAAGGCTTTACAAAAGAAATACTGTTTGGTCCAGATGGCCTTCTAGAAGGCTCCCTGAGAGAACTCAGAAGTCTCTCTAGCCAAAAATACTGTCTCCGCTGATTCAAGTGCCAGAAATCCCACTGCCAGTCTTTCACGCAGATCAAATAAACCATCTAAAGATTTGGTTGTTGTCTTTGTCAGCTGAAAAGGTTGGTTCCACTTACAGACGACAGTGTAACCTCTGACACCCATCCAGCCCCACCACCCACAGCCTCTCTCCGCTTTATTTGTGAGCTGTAATGCTAAAATCAGAAATCACAGAGGTGATTTCTGTGATAATGAAAAGATGAAGGGACATTACTCTTGAGGTTTTTTAATAACAGCATTTATCCCTTTATTTCCTTGGCTCAATTACATTGTCAGAACGATATGCCATAATTTTGACTTTGAAAAGTCAAAGTCTTAGAAAATCTGCTGATAACGACTACTTTAAGATTGATTTGATTGATAGCAAATTGTAAATCTTTAAACATTTAAAGCA